CATGTAAGTACATCATTTCATGTTCCCATACCACAATAGCACAGAAATGTAATTGTCAATTCAAATCCAATAGTAGAAGAGGTAGTAACGGTATTAGCAGTAGTCGGAGAGGTTAGGATTAGAAGATATTAGTCAAGAAGTAGAATCTAGTGAAATAGATTTAAAAAGATAAAGTGATGAAGAATTAAAAAGTTTAGGATTTGAGAGAACACAATGAATAAATGCACTGGCACCATTGCAAACGGTTTTGAGCCATGTCATTCAGGGTCTCTAACCATCGATTACTAACATCTCTCGGACCCCAACCAGGTAGTCGACACCTACCGACATGATTCAGTCCACCTGTCAATGACTCCATGGATTGCTGCCATGTTTTGGTTTGGCCGCCCCTAGCTTTCTTCCAACTTATTCCTACACCGCAAAATATAGCTCGACGAGGCTGATCTAATCTAGAAAATCATTAAAAACCACGAAGATTTAGAAAGCTGTTTCATCAAACCTAAATTAGTTAAGTCTAGCCAAATTTGGTGTACAACAATTAACCACTAATGATATTGAAAAGTGGTTGAACAATAGTGCAAACTGATTGGAGCTATATCTGTTAACCATTGGATGCAGGTTTAATGGTTAAAAGTTTAAGCACTCTACGTGAGAGCTGATCAACTCAAACTGAACACTCATCTTTGATGCGCACTACTGATTAGGCATATATGAAGATAAAACAACTGTCCAGCATTTTCTGGTTTTCAATAGTTATCAAACTTGTGCACGATTGTTAGTTATCTCAATAAAATATTGATTTTATCGAAAACAATGAAGCTGACTGATATTAACGATGTACCTTTTTTATGAAAGTGTATTAAAATTAATTTTAATGTCAAAAATTAATTATACAAACTCTTGTACAAATAAGCAAAATATGTTTACAGCTATTTTTAACCGTATAAATAATAAATGAAGTTTTGTAATAAGATACTACTACTATTAGAATAATGATCAGAAATGATATATTCTACTAGCCCTTCATAGTTTTATGTACAGCATTTTAAATACTTCATTTCAAAGTTTGAAAATACCAAAAGCACAATTCATATGTAGGAAGTAGTAGATTCTAATAGAAATCTATAAACAAACAGACAGACAGACAGATACAACGCAGAACTTCGTAAGTAAGTACATCACTTCAGGTTGCCATACCACGGTCTGCACAGAGACGCCACCGTCAGTTCAAATCCAGGAGTGATAGCGATGGTAGAAGTAGTAGCAGTAATGGAGAAGATTAGGGAGCGAAGATATGATTCGAGAAGTATAATTCAGTAAGATAAATTTAGAAATGGAAACATAAAGGTAACGAAGAACTCAGAAGTTTAGGATTTGAGAACATACAAAGAATGAATTCACCTGCGCGACTGCAAACTGTTTTGAACCATGTCATTCAAGGTCTCTAACCATCGATTATTATCATCTCGCGGACCCCAACCAGGTAGCCTACATCTACCAACATGACTCAGTCCACTTGTCAGTGACTTCATGGATTTCTGCCATGTTTTGGTTTGGCCGCCCATAGCTTTCTTCCAGCTTACTACTACACTGCAAAACGTAGCTCGTCCAGGCAGTCGGTGGTTAGACATACGTAACAGATGTCCCAACCACCTCAACTGATGAGGTTTCAATGAC